ACCAGTAGCTGAGTTGTAGGCTTATCAAAAATCACTTGTGTTTATTCACCTGCCAGTTTACAGAAGTCATAAGTTCTTATAATTATATAATTAAATGTTTTATATATATATATATATACACACACACATCAATGAAATAAATTAGAAAAGTTTCCTTGAAAACAACTCTAATGTGAATGCTTTGTGAAAAACAAGTCAAGACACTGAAAACTTTTGCTCAAATTAGATGTGGGCAGGACAACTGTAAAAGACTGGGCAAGAAGGGGGAATCATACAAATCTAGCTACACAGTTTGACCCAAATTACTCTGAATGTCATTAAGACCTTGTTCCTCTTTAAAACAAACAAATTAGAACACACAGATGATGCTCTGGGAGCATAGTTTATGCAAAAAATTCAAGTAGTATTTCAATCACATCTATATATAAGGACCTTGACCTCATATTAGGAAACTGAAGAGTAAACATATATTTGTTTAAATTAAAAATGCTCTATATTAAAATAAAAGTTTAAAATATTTCCCCACTTCAACCAGTTGTTAAGATTAACCCATGGCCTACTAGTTCTGATCACATTGGTTAAGAAAACACTGACTGTATTTCTTCAATTAGAGAAGGACGGCCATATATCCCAGTTTACCTGGGACTGTTTGAAACTAATTATTGGCATCACTTTTTATTCTCAAAAGTGCCCAAACTTGAATGCTAAAGTTTATATGGTCACCTTATTTATAACAGACATAAAGTTGTTACACCAAGAGTGAGCAAGGGGCCAGCCTTAGGACCCCCATCACTTTCCAGAAAACCCCTAAGAGCCATCCCATATAAACAATCTTAGCAAAAACAGGAAGCCTGCTGTGCAGAACAAAGCCCTCTTCTAATCAGATTGCTGCTCTTAAGTTCTTCTTATATAAAAACCCTAGAGCTGATGCACACAAGTATTCTCCCACTTTAAAAATACTGCAAATCCATAAAACATTCCAGCCTTAATCAAGGCCTGGGAACACGCCTAAGCACATGACATAAATCACAAATAAACAGTCAACTAGGAATCTAAACCACTACATGGTATCATCAATCTAAAATCCTGCCTGGCTTTATTTATTTATTCATTTATTTTTGAGACAGGGTCTTGTTCTGTCGCCCAGGCTGGAGTGTAGTGGCACAATCATAGCTCACCGCAGCCTCAATCTCCCAGGCTCAAGCGATCCTCCCACCTCAGCCTCCCAAGTAGCTGGGACTACAGGCACACACTACCACACTCGGCTGATTTTTTTTATTTTTAGTAAAGACAAGGTCTTGCTATGTTGCCCAGGCTGGTCTCCAACTCCTGAGCTCAAACAATCCTCCTGCCTCGGCCTCCCAAAGCGCTGGGATTATAGATGTAAGCCACTGCACTTGGTCCTGCATGGCCTTAGATAAAATTTCTCACTTTTCTGAACTAGTTTTCACTTATGTAAAACTGGAACAGTATTTGTCTCCTCCACTTCCATAGAAAAACCACATTGGCAAGTATAGTGAAATGCTCAGAGTGCTTTCTAAAAGCAATGGATTGTCATCTCATAAAGCTTCTTAACAGATCGGGAAAGAAGGCTGAGGTGACCGTGCATAAACATGCAAGAGGTGGCAGGTGGTTTTCCCTGCTCCTTTCCTTCAGGTTTTTAACTCAAATGTGCTATTGGGACTATATATAATATGATAAAAGAATCACTAAAAAAGTGAAATGCTGGTGGTACACTTGGTGCTAACAAACTCAGTAGTAATAATCTTTAGTCAGGAGTCACGGACTTCTACGTCTGTGGTTGAGCTTGAAGAAGTCTATGAAGCCCCCACATTATTTTATAATAATGTAAATGAGTGAATGGGCACATTCACACATGACCACATTTTCCTCTGGTCAATAAATAATTCTCCAGTACAGAGAAAAGGACCCTCAGACAGAAGACAAATTTCAGTTCTTATTCAGCCACTTACTTGAATTGTTGCCTTGGATAAGTCACTTTACCTCTGTGCGCTTCCATTTCCTTATCTTTCCAAAGGGAATATTTGCCTCATCTACTTCAAAAGGGGTGTTTGGAAGAATAAGATGAGAAAACACCATGAAAGTGGTCCACAACAATCAAAAGAGTTACCTCTTTTAAAATCACCATTCAGCCACTGATAAGAATCTTGTCTGCAGACGGTTCTTATCTATTTAGAAAGGAACAGTGAAAGAATAAGGAAAGCAAACAGGCCGGTGTGGTGGCACACACCTGTGGCCCCAGCTACTCAGGAGGCGGAGGTGGGACGATCACTTGCGCCCCGGGGGTCAAGGCTGCAGGGAGCCATGTTCACGCCACTGCACTCCAGTGTGGGCGACAGAGCAAGACCCTTTTGGTTTTGGTCTCAAAAATCAAACCAAACCAAACCAAAACAACAACAAAAAAAAGGGAAAGCAAATAAAGGCACAATTAAAATTCACCTTCACCCCATTCCCCAGTTCCTTGATTTGCTGAGCCAAAACCATGCTGAGGAGACGTAAAGATCACAAGTTCCATTTCCGCCAGCTCAGCCTGTTCAGCGACCAGTGTTTCATGCTGATAAATGCCTCCCAAATCTCAAAACACAAAGTGAGAGTTCACAAGGTTAGGCGCATTAATTAGCAGTACTCATTTGGATTCTGTATTCATCAAATACAACAAGCAGCTATTCAATATTTGCCTATTTGCACACTCTAAGATCTCTAATTCAAAGATCCAACCAGAGTACAAAATAAAGCCCATGAAAATAAACTAAAATAAACCTGTCACCATCAGAATGTGCCTCAAAGTAAATGAGCAGCTTTAAACCATGGCAAAGGGCTGTAACAGGCCTGCAGCAGAGATGGCATGAGTAATGAATGTGCAGGTTACAGAAGTGGGCCCCTGCTGCAAAAGAAAGAAAAAATAAACTAGGTACAATCAAAGAGACTACTTTTTTAGGCTTTAATAAATTCCTATTAACTCTTTTTGCTTAGCTCCTTATTGATCTGTAATCCCCACAAGAATACAGTACCCTTTCAGTCTTCTAAACTCAGACTTTACATCAATTAGCTTTACCTTCCTAAATCCAGAATAAGCAACATTTTATAAATAATAAAGTAACTGCATTAGTTTGCAAGACTAGATTAAGAGACTAACCATGACCCCTTTATTACATGTCCTAGGTGAAAAGTACAGGATGAAACAGAAACTGTCACTACCTCTAAAGCAGCCCATAGGACTGCAGTTCTCAAGCGCACTACACAGCAGAATCACCTTTGGGATTTATAAATATTTGAATGGGTAAGCCCAACCTTAACTTACCCAATCAGAATCTCCGTAGGGTGGATCTCCAGGTATGAGAATTTTTTTCTGATATATGACTAAGATATAAAAGTACTATCAAAGGGGCATAAGTTTCCCAGCTTACAGAAGCTCTAGCACAGACACAAAGCAGAAAGAAAAACAAATAAATCTTTATATTCTCTTTAGATTTGGGATAAATGGCTCTTTTACCAAAAGCTTTCATCTTCAATATCAACAGTGATGAACTCAGTGGGGGATGAACACAGAGATAACAACACTTCTTCTCTCCATGCCCTATCTGGGGCCAATCTGACATCAACTGAGCACCAAAAGTGCAAGAATTGGACAAATACTCTCAAATCTGAAAGGCCTGCAAACAGGTGACTACTGATTATCAACTAACCTAGTTTCTGTTTTCTTGTAGTTGTTGTTTTGTTTGTTTTTTGTTTTGTTTTTGAGACAAAGTCTCACTCTGTCACTCAGGCTAGAATGCAATGGCGCAGTCTCAGCTCACTGCAACCTCCGCCTCCCCAGTTCAAGCAATTCTCCTGCCTTAGCCTCCCAAGTAGCCAGGACTACAGGTGCGCACCACCACAACTGGCTAATTTTTGTATTTTTAGTAGAGACGGGGTTTCACTATGTTGGCCAGGCTAGTCTCGAACTCCTGACCTCATGATCCACCCACCTTGGCCTCCCAAAGTGCTGGGATTACAGGCGTGAGCCACCGCACCCAGCCGACCATCCTAGTTTTTAAGATCCGCTTCAGGAGCTCTGATGAGATTCAGTGAACTTCTGGAAAGGACACTATGAACTCTTTCATTTAGCACTGTAACTCATATCCCTTGGACAAGTAGAACAATGGTAGCTTTTTTTTTTGACAACCCTGTAAGGAATAATGGCATTCCAAGATATTTCTAGGAGCTACCCTTTCAAATCTCCTGAAGAATGTCAATATCTCCAAACAGCAAGGAGACAAATTTCTTTTGGAGGCAAGGTGATTTAAGCCACGCCATTTCTCTAAGAGGAAGCCTTACCTGTTCTTCTATCCTAGCTCTGCTTCAACGTCATCTGCTCAAGTCTTCAAACAGCAAAAAGATAGAGAAGGCATTTTATACACTTGCCTAAACCATACTGAGGGTGGCTCGTAGGAAGCAGTTCTGCTCTGACCCATAATAGGGCCTGGGCTTTTCCAGTCATCCTCCCATCTAACAAAGAAAGGCGGCAGAAACTTCGCTTTCTCAAGCAAGCCTTCCCTGATTAAAACCATAAGGCTGAATACCCCCAGGGAGGAGAATGGAATTTTCTTGCTACAGATCATTACAAGGACTCAAAAACTCTGTGCAGGCAGGGGCTAACTGGCAGGTAATAAAGAAACGAGTCCAGCATTCAGAATTATGAAGCATCGAGAAAACCAGGTCAAAAAATTATTATGTAGCCTGGAGAAGAAAATACAAAAGCAATCGTGACTGTGCTTGAGTAATTATTTTCTCTTATAATATTCACAATTTTAATAACATAATACTTATAGAATTTTAAAATATGCTTAATTTACATCTGTAAAAGTACATTCATTGCTGAAACAAGCCCATTCCCTTTCAAAGTAAGTAATTTCAGGAAATGTTCTCTATCACAGCAACCCTTTGATGAAACACACCACACACATACATCATCTGAGTTACAAATAGCAGATACCAACCTGGCTGTCCCGCGCTGGGAATCCATGATAACCTGGAGTCAGAGGCTCGTTCTATGAGAAAAACAAGAAAAATATCAAACTATGAGATGAAAGAAAATGTTAAGAATAATCAAAATCATCCAAACTGATCAAATATAAATTCCTGCCCTGGTTCCTAAAATGTTCCATTAACTGTATTCCACCCTACCTAAGTGTATATATCTCCTCGTTAAGCCTCTACACTGGCAAAAACAAAAAACAGTATTTGCTTAGGAGCACTATTCAGAAAAACTATTTTCCTCCTTATACAGCTAAATCTGTTTCCTTTCCAGTATATCTTAGGCAGGGTGCTACTGAGACTGGGGTCAGAGTAATTCCTAACTTCATCATACACTGTGGGACTTCAGCATCCCCAGTCCCAACTCACAGTAAGCCACTAGCACCCCTAAACACTAGGATAACTAAAAACTTGTTGGTTTATTTCCAAACGTCCTCTGGATGGAAAGGGGACAAGTACCAACCCTGCTGAGAACTGCCTCTTGACCCAGAAAAGTTCTAGGTCCCCGTCTCTATCAACCTGTTTCCCCTCAGTTTTTACTTTTGTATTTATTTATTTTTTGTTTTATCCCCTCAGTTCTCTTAAATCTGGATGAAATTCAACCTCTGTTCAAGACTTTCTCTACTACTCTATATCATCCTATGGACTTAAATGACTCCTCTTAATATTTAATATTTACTTAGCTTACTTGTGCAGCTTACTTTTTATGTTATTTATGATTCTAATTGATCTTATCATGTTGAGTATCTGTCTCATCTTTACTTTAAACCACTAAATCAAGATCCTTGAGGGCAAGGATGATAGCTAATAAAAGCTATGCAAACCCTAATTTAGTATAAGGTCACATAACATGAACACTCATTTCCAGGTTATCCGACCCGTTCAATCATTCAGTTAACATATACTAATATTAAAATTTTCCAAGCACTGTTAGTTGACTGATGGAGTAAAAAAGACGAATAAAAACAAGGTCCTTGCTTTCAACGGAACTTTTAAATGAGGGAAGATACATGTGCACACAAAGGAGTAAATGAGAACATACAGTGCTTTTGTAATTTTCAAAGTGCTCAACATCGTTACTTAGATATTCATCCTCTTCTTCCATTCATTTGTGCTTTCATTCCTACTAGCAGAACAGTGTAAAAGAAATTTTCATTGATAGGACTTTTGAATATAACAATAGAGTAAACTTTCCACTAATTGGTAGGTTGACTATATTCAGATATTTGATAGGCAAAAGCATGAAAGTCCGAAGACAACTTAAGCTCACTGCAGAGACCCTGTGTCTTGTTCATCATGATTTCCCTGAGATCTAGCACAATATCTAACACATGTAGACACCCAAAAGAATGTGTAAATAAATACACGGAGCTAAATAACCAGAAAAATGTGTAGGAATTCAGTCACTGAAGCAATCATAGACAATCCAAGTTCTCTTTATCTATTCCTATGAACCTGTTTTGGATATTTTAATATTTATAGTCTCCTCAAAGAAAGCACATTAGACACTGAGGAAAACTGCCTTTAAAAAAAATCATGGGTACCAAAACAATCTTGTAAAAGAAGAAAAAAGTTGAAGGACTCCCACTTCCTGATGCCAAAGTTTACTACAAAGCAACAATAATCAAGAGAGTGTAATACCGACATAAGGATACACACATAAACCAACAGAATACAACTGAGAGTCCAGAAACACGCCCTTACAGTTATGTGTCATCAAAGGGAAAAGGACAGTCTTTTCAACAAACCACACTAAGACAACTGGACATCCACATGTAAAAGAATGAAGTTGAGGCCGGGCGCGGTGGCTCACGCCTGTAATCCCAGCACTTTGGGAGGCCGAGGCGGGTGGATCACGAGGTCAGGAGATCGAGACCATCCTGGCTAACACGGTGAAACCCCGTCTCTACTAAAAACACAAAAAAATTAGCCAGGCGTGGTGGCGGGCGCCTGTAGTCCCAGCTACTCGGGAGGCTGAGGCAAGACAACGGCATGAACCCGGGAGGCGGAGCTTGCAGTGAGCCGAGATTGTGCCACTGCACTCCAGCCTGGGCGACAGAGCGAGACTCCATCTCAAAAAAAAAAAAAAAGAATGAGGTTGGAACCCCACCCCACACTATAAACAATATTAACCCAAAATAGAGCATATTTAAAACCATAAAACTCTTAAAAAAAAAAAAGATAAGAGCTAATCTTCATGACCTTTGATTAGACAACAGTTTCTTCAATGTGACACCAAAAGCACAACCGACAAAGGAAAACAAATAAATCAGACTTCATCAAAATGTAAAACTTTTGGCTGAGTGCAGTGGCTCATGCCTGTAATCCCAGCACTTTGGGAGACCAAAGGAGAACTGCTTGAGGCCAGGAGTTTAAGACCAGCCTGGGTAACACAGTGAAACCCATCTCTACAAAAAATTTCAAAAAATAGCTGGGTATGGTGGCACACACCTGCAGTCCTAGCTATTCAGGAGGCTGAGACAGGAAGATCGCCTGAGCCTGGGAGTTTGAGGCTTCAGTAAGCTATGATCACACCACTGCACTCTAGCCTGGGACAATAGAGTAAGCACACTTTCTTAAAAAAAAAAATTTTTTTTTTAAAGATTGGGTGCAGTGACTTACACCTGCAATCCCAGCACTTTAGGAAAACAAGGTGAGAGGGTCTCTTGAGCCCAGTTCAAGACCAGCCTGGGCAACTTAGTGAGACCCCACTTCTAAAAAAAAAAAAAAAAATTATTTAAATTATGTTTTGTGCTTCAAAGAACACCAACAAGAAAATAAAAAGATAACCCACAGAATGGGAGAAAATATTTGCAAGTCATATGTTTGACAAGGAATGTGTATCCCAAATACATAAAGAACTCTTAAAACTCAAGAACAAAAGGACAAATAACTTAAAAATTGGCAAAATATTTGAACAGACAGTTCTCCAAAAGAGATGTGCAAATGGCCAGTAAGTACATGGAGATGCTCAATATCATAAGTCATTATGCAAATCAAAACCACATTGAGATAAAACTCACACTCACCAGAATAGTCATAATCCAAAAGACAGACAACAGTAAGTATTGTCAAAGATGCGGAGAAATCAGAATTCTTCCACACTGCGGGTGGGAATGTAAAATGGTACAGCTGCTCTGGAAACAGCTGGATAGTGCTTCTATTAAACATAGAGTTATATGACCGAGCAATTCCACCCCTGGGTATTTAACTAAGAAAACTGAAAACATATGTCCATACAAAATAATACACATGAATATTCATAGCAGCATTATTTCATAATAACCAAACAGCAGGAAAAAAACAAATGTCCGTCGATTGATGAATGGATAAATGAAGTACGGTACATCTATAGTGGAATATTATTCAGTAATTTTAAAAATAAAGTACAGATACAACACAGATGAATACTGAAAACACCATGCTTGAAAACAGACACAAAAGGCCACAAATGATATAATTCAATTCGTTTGAAATGTCAAGAATAGGCAGATTCATAGAGACAGAAAATATATTAGTGGTTCCAGGGACTAGTGGGAAGAAACGAGCAGTGACTGCTAATGGCTACGAGGTTTATCTGAGGGGAGATGACAATGTTCTGGAATTAGACATTAGTGATGGATGCACACATCCATTATTAAACTAAAAACCACTGAAACACTAAAAGCACTTCATAAAGGTGAGATTTATGATCTGTGAATTATATCTCATTAAATTATTTTAAAATAATAATAGTTATAGGCAATGTTGGCTATTTTTCATACTGATTTTTATAGGGGAAATATGCAGTTTAGATTTTAACAAAAGAACAAGGCTCCTTCCGAAATGCACAAGTGCCTTTTGTTTGTTCTGGATTCTACAAATTTACTTCCATGCACCATTCTCTACAAATTTTAACAATGATGATGATAACCCCCCGATACTGAGCACCTAACCAGTACAGTTCCAGGATGGAGGGGAAGAGGAAGAGATAGAGGCAAAGAGAATGAGCTAATATAGCAGTATACAAAAATACATTTCCTATCACTGGGGAAACTAACTGAGAGAAGGTAAGTAACTGGCCCGATAACACATAGATATTGAATGGGAAAGTCAAACTGCCAACCTGCGTCTGCTGGACTACAAAGCCCCTGTTCTTTCCATTTTTCCAGGTCTCATCCCTTCTAATCATTCCATATTATCCCCTTATAAGAAACATTTCATGATTGTCTGAGAAGGGCATTAAGAAAGTAATCAAAAATCCCAAAAGCATATTAACAGAAATTCATCACTCCGAGAGGACATCCCACATATGAACCATATTCCATGAAATCCTGGAGTTCAACAATGCAAAAAAAAAAAACAAAACAAAACTCCTATAAGGAAAAGATCACATTCGTATAAGCCAGTATTGTCAAAAACTTCAACAGAAAAGTTGGTTGTAACAGGTTGCACAGAGATGTGTCAGAGGAAATGGATTTACTCCTCCGCCTGCCTTAGCAAAGCATTACTCTTCTTTATTTCCACCTCTCAGATAAGGCTATTTGGAACTCTCAAGCCCTCCTTGCATATACCCGTCTCTTACACCTGCATTAATTTTGCATGATTTTGAATTTTACAGACATGGATCCTACTGCAGGTATTCTTTAGTAATTTGGCATTTTTGCTTGATACTATATAAGATTCATCTCCACTAGCGCACATAACTATTTTACTAACTATGATTGCCATTTAGTATTCTCTTATAAACTATAAACATGTCAAATAAATTACTTATCTGTCCTATTTTCCTGTTAATGGATAATTGAACTGTTTCCAGTTATGGTTTTTCTGCTCACACCATGCTGCCCATGAACATTCGTTTAGATTTGAGATACCATGTTTCACTTATGAGATTAGCAAAAATGGAAACACCATAAATAGACAAAAAGATGAGTCAACGGATACTCTCACACCTAACAGTAGGAATATAAGTATATTGGGACCCTGTTATGGAAAGTAATTTGACAGTACTATCAAAATATTGAATGCATAT